GGGGGGAATTGATAAGTGTTTAAAATTCTTCTCTTTCAATATGCTGAGAGATAGAGCCTATAGTTGCAGTACGTGACATATTTGATCAGAATATGTTTCTGTGTTTGTTTAAATGTCCATTTGAGGGATTCAGGCCCTCTAGGCCTCTTGTTTGTCTTTTTTTTTTTTTTTTTTTTTTTTTTTTTTTACATCTGATGGTAACTAGTGATGGGCCAATAATTCATTATATAACTCAAAATTGATCAGCTTGCCTTTTTCAATTATTGATTACGGGTACAAATTCCATAGGTTCGCTTCCTGTTACATGTTTAAAGTGCTTCCTAGAAATTTTACCAAAACTTTATCAGGACATTGAGGTTTGGCAACGGCAAAACGTCATCCGTATTAAAGACCTCAGCAATGCATTTGATAAGTAACTACACCTAAATATTCCTGCTGAAACTATCACTAAGGCGTGTGTGGGGAGGAGCTAAGTAGGATAAACATATGTTCATTAATGGTAAGAATTAATATCAATCATCAGTGATATCACGTGTTCAGGTCCTCGCAGACGAGGTTAACAGGTGGTCAGGGGCTGTGAGAATTCACAGAAAGCGTACGTCAGTACCTCCACGTAGGTTAAAGGACTCCTACATGTAATAGCTTTGATGTAGGAGTTATGATAATTAACAGAAAGCGTCAGTAACTTATGTTACATACACAATACATATAATATCTCTGATGCACCATGACTGGCTAAATCTTACACTACACTTTACTGATTAAAGGTAAATAACTTAATTAACAGTAAGAACGTGTTATACCACCCGTCATTGAAGGCTTGGTTGGAGGTTCTAGGTTCGCTTCCAACTTTTGTTTATGCTATTAAACTCACCTCTTCGCTGATGATAACATCATGTACGGCTGTACCGCAAAGGTCGCTACAGATCATTACATGAATTGGAGAAGGTACGGAAGGAGGAAGGGTTGATATGTTATCCGGAAATGTGCGAGTTGTTTCGTATTTTCAACACTTAAACCATCTTGATGAAAGACATAAACATTCATAGTCCTTTTTATTTGGTGTTGAAAATCGCACAAAGAACTAAGTACCCGGATTGCAGGCTGGCATGGAGGCGACTGAATGTAAAAGTCGCAACAATCAATGAAAAAAATAACCCAAAATCGCTTTAGTCAGTACAAATGCTAAATTAACAAAATAGTGCCCCTAGACATACTTGGTTCCTATCCTGTCATGATTGTATTCGATAGATAGTCATTTTCATTATTCAATTTTCAATAATAATCTGCTTTCTGAAGCTAGTTAGTTACCCTCGGCCATTAAGGCGTTCAATTTTAAAATCATTCCTACTTTAGGACTTGTTAGATTTCCTTCATACTTTATCCTTATATGCATATGTAGATATCATTTGATAACGTGTTTGGTCTTTGTACCACGTGTTACTTCCGTTTATGTGTTCTAGATAATAATCCTTGTTGTGAGGCTTGACTGATATTGTGTCTATAGGATAACCCAGATGACCAGGTCAGCTTCAGTGTTACTTTGTCTATCAGATAACAGGAGAGATAACGGACAATATGCACTAATATAAACCAATACAACCTGTCATGGAGGATACTTCTGTGTACAGATCGTCATGAGGGAAGTGCTTTTGGGTTTATTAAGTCACATCAGGTTTGTAAACGTTACATATTACTGCATTCAACTTTTTATGTTAATGTTAGAGGCACGATAGTCTAGTGGCCGCCGGGCTCGTGACCAAAGGGTTGCGGGTTCGATTCACGTCACGGCACTGTGTTGTATCTTTGGACAAAATACTTAAGTCCGCTTATTCCCGTCTACTCAGCTGTAAATAAGAACATGGTTGGGCAGAGCTGGAATTGTTGAATGCAAGCTGCGAGCACCGAAAATGCAGAAACGGCTAGCTGTAGGCTCCCCATGGAGTTGAGAAATATATTGGCCATATAAACACTGAATATTACAGATCTCTGTTAATATGTAGGACTCTGAATCATACAGATATCTGTTAATATGTAGGACACTGAATCATACAAATCTCTGTTGAGATGTAGGACACTGAATCATACAGATCTCTGTTAATATGAAGGACACTGAATGAAACAGATCTCTGTTAATATGTAGGACACTGAATCTTGCAGATTTGTTAATTTGTAGGACACTGAATCTTACAGATCTCTGTTAATATGTAGGACACTGAATCTTACAGAACTGTTAATATGTAGGACACTGAATCTTACAGAACTGTTAATATGAAGGACACTGAATCATACAGATCTCTGTTGATATGTAGGACACGGAATCATACAGATCTCTGTTAATATGTAGGATACTGAATCATACAGATCTCTGGTAATATGTAGGACACTGAATCATACAGATCTTTGTTAATATGTAGGACACTGAATCATACAGATCTCTGTTAATATGTAGGACACTGAATCATACAGATCTCTGTTAATATGAAGGACACTGAATCATACATATCTCTGTTAATATGTAGGACACTGAATCATACAGATCTCTGTTAATATGTAGGACACTGAATCTTACAGAACTGTTAATATGAAGGACACTGAATCATACATATCTCTGTTAATATGTAGGACGCTGAATCATACAGATCTCTGTTAATATGACTGAATCATACAGATCTTTGTTAATATTTAGGACACTGAATCATTCAGATCTCTGTTAATATGAAGGACACTGAATCATACATATCTCTGTTAATATGTAGGACGCTGAATCATACAGATCTCTGTTAATATGACTGAATCATACAGATCTTTGTTAATATTTAGGACACTGAATCATTCAGATCTCTGTTAATATGAAGGACACGGAATCATACAGATCTCTGTTTATATGTAGGACACTGAATCATACAGCTCTCTGTTAATATGTAGGACACTGAAGCATACAGATCTCTGTTAATATGTAGGACACGGAATCATACAGATCTTTGTTAATATGTAGGACACTTAATCTTACAGATCTCTGTTAATATGTAGGATACTGAATCATACAGATCTCTGGTAATATGTAGGACACTGAATCATACACATCTTTGTTAATATATAGGACACTGAATCATACAGATCTCTGATAATATGTAGGACACTGAATCTTACAGAACTGTTAATATGTAGGACACTGAATCATGCAGATCTCTGTTAATATGTAGGACACGGAATCATACAGATCTTTGTTAATATGTAGTACACTGAATCATACAGATCTCTGTTGATATGTAGGACACTGAATCATACAGATGTCTGTTAATATGTAGGACACTGAATTATACAGATCTCTGTTAATTTGTAGGACACTGAATCTTACAGATCTCTGTTAATATGTAGGATACTCATTAATACAGATCTCTGTTAATATGTAGGATACTGAATCATACAGATCTCTGTTAATATGTAGGACACTGCATCTTCACAATATTGATAATCACAATATGCCCTTAAATACAAGCTTTATAAGGCACTTATTTCTGTGACGTCTGATGATTGCTTCTGATGACTGAACTAATTATAAGTGTTCTACGTTAGAGAGCCGACGGTTACATTCGCTTATCTCGGTTGAAACGGTACAGGTGGCACAGAAATAATCCACGGTTATAAACGCACGCACTTGGACCGAACTACAGACAGAGATAAAATGTACAGTTTCGGAGAATAAATAATAATGTATCAAGAATATTTTGCCCTTCTTTCACGCTTCCAATACATTGTATAAAGTTTATTAAAATCTACATGTGGTTTTACCTTGTTCTATAAAGAAATAACGCAAACTAGCAATAGCCAGAATTTTAGTTTCGTTCAGGCACATCTTGACGCCTCAATATACACGTGACGAATATTCCTGAGGTCAGCCTCGATTTAGATATGCACCTGTCGTTTTCTTTTTAGGTTCAACTGGTTGCACCGGATACGCGAAAGTGGCCTAAACACACCGGTGGATAACTAGGATAAGATGATAAAACAGAGCAAAAACTATATGTACTTTTTGAAGAAAAGATTTTATTATAAAAACTACTTGATTTGAAAGCCAAAGAAAACACTTCTCAATAGAATATTATATCCATAAATAATCTTGATTCTATGTATGAATTTTAGAGAATTCTTAAGAAATGCTTGTGTGTTGATAACAAGTGTCATGTGTATTTAAACTGCTTTCTACTAATTGTAGCAACATACGCAGCCATCGTTTCGTAGATGGACACGTAAACCAGATACGATGCAGTCGATAAGTGAATTCCTGGAAGACATATTACAAAGATGTGGTGGGTTCGGAAGGTTTCAATTTCTCATGTACACCGTTGTCATGGGAAGTAAACTTCCGGTCGCGTGGAGTATGATGATGATGTCATATGTGGGCGTCATACCCGACTGGTGGTGCGACTATAATGTACCTATAAATAGAACAGATAGTCACGTGACGGAGAGTCCCTGGACAAACTCCTCTTTCAAGAAATGTTCTCCTCCAGCCAATACGTCCGTTTCCTCTTGCAGTAGACACAGGTTTCAAAACGACATGTACAACATTGTAAATGAGGTGAGTATGAGTTCAATATATGTTTATAATATCAACCTTTTATTACATCAGTACTAGAAACAAGTGCTACGATTTACATATCCTCATTTGCTTCAACGTTGGTTGTTCCATATTGTTGCAAGTTGCACAACCACATTTGGTGTGCAAAAGGATTTATAGCACATAGACCAACACAATAGCTGACACTTAGTCCGAAGATGATCATAATATGCAAATCAGGAAATAGCAACTTCAGTGTCGTTTTGATTGCATACCCTAAAGAAAAATGAACGATTTAAAATTTAAAATCGATGAAATTAAGGCAGAATATTAGGGACCTTCAAAATCAAGGAGAATAAACAATAGAATTGTTGAAAGCACCGGCTATATGCTCCCCCGGGAGTTGCGAAAGATGTTAACCACGAATAATAATTCGTGAACCGCGTTGAGACGACCTACGACCTGGGGAGTGTAAAGCACTATATAAGAACCTCGAATTATCATTATTATTATTAAAACAGCTCTGGCATGTTCATGTAGCTTTGTTACGGATAAAGTACTACACTAAGAGGTGGTGTCTCTATGTGATTTTGTAGGTCACATTTCACCACTCTATTATTACTAGCTGTCGATATCTACATTTTAGGGACAACAACTTCTCACAGTAAGCATTCCTTCTCACATAATGAGGGATTTCCTGTCACTTCCTTGTACCTCTCAAGGGTCTCCGTGTAAATCTTTCTGTTGTGTGTATCTTGCACATTTTCATCCCTGTACGGTTTTGTTACACGAGTTATTCATAATCTTATGGTGGCTGATGATTTGTATATTTTCATGGTCATTGTACCATCATTAGACTGACATGCATTTCAGGCCTCAGCTTCAATAAACTAACTGGAAAGCATAATTGCAGTCAAGAAAAAATCTAAAGTGATTTTTTCCCTGTAGTACATTCGTGGCTGGACGATACCTATATACCTAAGTATAGATTGTTTCTTACGCTTGCTGCTATGCAAAATAAATATAGCGATCGTTTACATAGCCTTATTTATCTCCTTTAATAGATTACTGTGCTGATTAAGACGTCACCTCTTGTTACTTGATTGTTTTAATGGATCACAATCAAAACCCTAGGCAACCCATATTTACAAAAATATCTATAAATAAGTTAGAAAATGTAAAAAAAGAAACACAAAGAAATAAACAATATCTAAGTTATGAAAACAGACTGAGGATACTTACATTACCAACACTGAAACACAGGAGACCAAGAGGGGATATAGTCAAACTATATAAACTAACACATGCAGGATATGATAGAACTGTCACAGAGGGATTGTTAGTTCAAAACATAAATAAGGGAACACAGTGTATCACTGCTAAAACAGTAGTAGACTGAACTTAAGAAAACATTTTAAAGTGAGCAAATTGTAAACCACTGATCCCTCCTTTTTTCAGAACATTTTCTTTAGGTTCGTAAGTATGGATTATGAAAAGTACTTTTTACACAACCAATACGAGTTTCTATGTGACGTTTCGATGACTAGTACGGTATGTACTCTGTAACCTTCATCAGACAAATGACCAGTGATCATGAATCGTACAGCGTATCCGAATCGACATCGAATTTGTGGTCAACTCGTTCACATTTTACACCTTTGTGTGGATACGTTTCACTGGTCATTTGCATGTACCGTACTAGTCATCGAAACGTCACATAGAAACTCGTATGGGTTGTGTAAAAAGAACTTTTCTTAATCGCTGGAACTCTCTTCCATATGTTGTTGTTAAATCACCAACAATCAAATAATTTGAACCTAATAGGATAAACGATGAGGGCAACCTGAATGTTTTTATAACTATGAGATAGACAATAATGAACTTATTAATATCCGGGACTATAACTGGTAAAAACAGGAGTAGACTGAACTTAAGAAAACATTTTAAAGTGAGTGGATTGTAAACCACTGAAACTCTCTTTTTTCAAAACATATTCTTCAGTTTGGTAAGCATAGATTATGAAAAGTTCTTTTTAAACAACCAATACGAGTTTCTTTGTGACGTTTATATGACTAGTACGGTATGTACTCTGTAACCTTCATCAGACAAATGACCAGTGATCATGAATCGTACAGCGTAACCGAATCGACATCGAATTTGTGGACAATTCGTACACATTTTACACCTTTGTGTGGATACGCTTCACTGGTCTTTTGTCTGTTGAAGGTGACAGTGTAAATACATGTACCGTACTAGTCATCGAAACGCCACATAGAAACTCGTATGGGTTGTGTAAAAAGAACGTTTCTTAATCGCTGGAACTCTCTTCCAGATGATGTTGTTAAATCACCAATAATCAAATAATTTGAACCTAATAGGATAAACGATGAGGGCAACCTGAATGTTTTTATAACTATGAGATAGACAATAATGAACTTATTAATATCCGGGACTATAACTGGTAAAAAGAAGGAGTAGGCTGAACTTGAGAAAACATTTTAAAGTGAGCGGATTGTAAACCGCTAGAACTCTCTTCTAGATGTTGTTGTTACAATAATGAACTTATAAATATTCGGGACTAATTTTAATTCTATCTGGTTATATGGCAAAATGCCAGCGGCGTACAGTAGTATTAAATTGTAGAAAAACGGTATGATTATATGTACGTATGTAACAACTTTTTCGAATTTGTATTTGTGTTTAACCACACAATATATATTACGATAATGAATAAAGAGTTTCTTTTGCAATTTGTTTGAGGTTGGGCTTAATTTGGCGTAGAATTGTTAGACTATACATGGGGGTATCCTCTGAATATCCCGAGGGTTGTGATAAAACCTTGTAGTCATAGAAACCCGTTTACTCAGGTAGAACTGTGTGTAGAGTTCTTGATAAACTGGATTCAATCATGATTCACTTTTTATTTCAAAGTGGAATCTCGTCTGCGATCGGGAGCTGATCACATCAACCATCACGACTATCCAGATGGCGGGCCTTTTTGTCAGCGGATTCTTTTCTGGACATTTTGCGGATGCCTACGGAAGAAAACCTATATATTTTCTGTCCGTGCTGACCCTTGCTGTAACCAATGTCATTGCAGCTTACTCTGTGTCATGGCAGATGTTCGCTGTACTCCGATTTTTCATTGGCTTTGCCGTTGGATGCTATATTGCAGTTTTCTACACCTACCTCATAGAGTTTACACCGGCCAGATACCGCGCAATGACTACTACGTTTCCTATATGGGCAGTGTGGTGTGGACTATTTGCCTTCGTTTGTATGTGGCTGCATAATTGGAAATACCTTCACTTAGCCACAGCCGTCACCTCAGTCCCGTGGCTGTTGGCATGGTGGTGAGTAACTCTTTGCCAAATTATCTAAAGAAGTAGGTATATAATATATTTTATTATACCGAGTGTCATGTTTAGGTGTTTCACCACTTCACCATTTTTAAAGGTCCTTGTGTTGATTTGACATAAACCAAGACTTCATCTCAACAGTTGTCGAATGAACCAACCATGAATGTGATTTGATAACACCCTGGCACTGGGACGAACCGTGCACGCATCCGTTTGGCGCATGTAACAATTTTTGGAATAACACCCTGGCACTGGGACGAACCGGGCACGCATACGGTTGGCGCATGTGATATTTTTTGGAATGTCACCCTGTCTTCTTTATCTTTGTAAAACGAGCAAGGAATATTGAAAATGTTCACATCTTTCTCAACCAATCAGATTACGAGATTTTAACAGAAGGTATAATAATATTATTTGGTGCCTCGGTTGCTGCGATCGCTAACGCGCACAGTCATTAATACATGTACTGTGTGCAATCAAGCGTGAGCTTCAGACCACTCACACTCCCAAGAATTTCGGTTCGATCCCCAGCGATGGCGGAAAAAAGAGAGTGATGTCTGATAGGGCTAGTTGTTATCCCTCCGATGGCACAGTGGGTGTCCCCCGTGGTTTTTCTCCACCACGAAAACAACATTTGTAACCTTAGCGGCGTCGTACTAAAAGCTCTACATATATATATAGCTCATGTTTGTTGTTGACAATGTACACGACGTTAAAATAAATAAAGATTATTTATTATTCCATACATATGTTTTAAATTCAATTTAATTTGACGACATCGGCTACAAGATTCGATCATCTTAACGAGGTCTGAACATGTTTATCCCGAGGTACCCTTTTCATCAACGTATCGATTGTGCATATCAAAAATGTTGGATTAGCTTCGTTTCACGCCGACCACATCCAAACTGACATGCGTTTCAAGATTGTCGTCATCACAAAACTATCTATTGGTTTATATATATTCAGGTACTTTCCAGAAAGTTTTAGGTGGTTGGTAACCCATGGAAAAGAAGAACAGGCAGTGAAAATCGTTATACAGATCGCAAAGACAAATAGCAAAGACGTACCGGATACGACGAGGTTGACAGACATAGCTGACAGTGATTCGTCAATCAACCAATCAAAACAATCCTTCACTTTACGGGACATTTTATGCTCCAGGAAACTTCTGTCGCGGAGTTTGCTTTTGGCAGTTGGATGGTAAGTTGATCGCCAGTTATAATTTTGTCAAAGGACCACGGGCGTTAAGGGTCATTTACGGCCTCATCGGGGATTTATAATTAGTTGTTATATTCGAAATCTGGACTAAATGAAGAACGCAAATATACAATTTTCAATTCATTTGACATCTGGTTAAGGAGATATATCATTACAAAGAGAAACATAAACGCACATTTTCAACATTAAATGCGTGCATATCGTCTGTTTTGCGCTATTTGGTTGAGAATTGGCCATTTTGAAGGAAATTAACTAAACACTCATCAAATTTTGAAAGAGAAACAAATGAAAATTTGACATGCTTAAACTTGTTATCTAGGCTATTTGTGCATAGCAACGCAGTTTCGTTGCTATGGTAGGGCATCTACGCATGCGCATTTGAAAAGAAATACACCAAGAAAGATGCCCCTAATTAACCAATAGGATGTTTATAACAGAAATTGGTAACTAAGTTCAATTTGAAATTTTCGCTTTTTATGAGGCCAAAGATGACCCATAACGCCCAAAGTCCTTTATAGGCCTGCCTTCCCTGGCTATGATACATTGATAACACCATTGTTTGGTTAGGGTTAAACTTTTTGAAAAATGTGGAATATCCTGGCGTGGATATTATTTTTACGAATAATTGCATGGAGTTATATTGCGGCTTAATATTTATGGTAGAAACGTTGATCAAAAGCTCATAAAATATGACACAAAAAAATTGCATTTATTCAAAATGTATCTAACTTCTAGACGGTCAGTTACGTATCATAGTGCAACTGGAAGCAAATTTACAAAAGGGAGATAATTCAGTTTAATCGGGGAAAATATTCTGTGTTAATTACTGCAAAACGTACCTTAAATTGATCAATTAAATGTAAAAGATGTAAGGCGTAATTTGTCAATCTTGGTGTCATCGTAAAGTCTTTTATTGAAACAAAAGTCTACATTATAGAGTATTAACACTATAATTGTATTCCGTCTTTGCGTATTGCAGAGTTATCTTCTCTTAGGAGCAGGTATTGATTGTTACGTCACTTTTTTTGTGAGAGTAACGTCATCAATGTTTGAGAACACGACGTCATTTTCTCACACAAACCAATGACGTAACAATCAATACCTGCTCCCAAGAGAAGATAACTCTGCAATACGCAAAGACGGAATTGCTGATTGAGAGCAGATTGTCTTTGTGTTGCCAGGGTGACAGCTGCGTACGTGTATTACGCCATTTCCTTTGGTGTCCAGAATCTTTCCGGTAATATCTACATCAACATCTTTCTCATTAATATTATTGATATCCCCGCCCAGATCGTCACCTACTACATGGCCAACTGGTTAGTAAAATAGCAATCAAACTTCAATGGATTCTCTTAACTATCTTAACGAAATTTGAATATATAAAAGTTTCTTGAATGATTTATTACACTCATACGTCATTTCATAGAATGGGCTACTCGAAGGTCAAGTTTCAAAACATAGACATTAACTCTTTTTTTAAAATAATAAACGGATTTCGTATCGTTATCTACTTGTCATATGCCACCTTGCTAATGCATCCATGGGAATAAGGTGTTCTGTCGTTACTACACAAAATGTCTGCAACGTTATGCCTCATAATGATCGTCTGGACAAGTACTCTTCATCTTCCTGTTGTTAACCTAAATCGTGTTAGTTATATAGACATTAATATAACTCCACTGTTATGGTGACCGTACTAAAGACAACGATTGACTGGTTTGCTTTTAACAGATGTTGTCGTTTCACAGTATTGGCCGGAGACTGACTTGTTTGGTTTTCTTTGTGACTGGTGGCCTGGCAGGTATCGTGGTAGCATGCGTGGAAATCTCAGGTAATTATAAGCTCAAAGTTCATGATTACTTAAAACGTAAATATTTTAGCGGTAGTCATAATTTAGCGCTTTATCGCGCTTTGAATATTGCGCTAAATCATGAATGCGCCTATTTCAATTCTTATATATTGTTCTCTATTGCACGATTTCTTGAAACGCTGATTCATAAATGCGCTAATCTATTAAAATTTGAAACTGCGCTAAAATTTGAGTGCGCTTAAACAAGTACATTTACAGTTTACCCACCGATAAGAATAGAAAAATACCGAATGGCAGTCAGAGGTTATCAGAGTAGCCTGACAATAAACACATGGCAAATTTGAGAGTTTCCGAACGATTATCACAAGTCAGGTCACCTCTTTTCCCATTGGATTTATTGTTGCATAAATGATGGTTGTTTGTTAAATGTTGAAGTACCAATATACCAATGCTGTATAAAATGAAGGATGTGTCTTTCTAGGGTTAGAGGACAGGCTTAAAGAGTAAAAAATATTAAAATAATTATGTGAATTTTCGTTTGAAATATCCCGTTACTCAGATTATTCACTGTTATATCATCTTCCTCCTTGGAAAACAACACATTGACATTCAATGAAAGATGGGGTGGAACTGTTAGACTCCTGTCAGTCGATTCTGTCTTAAAACATATATTTCTGCGTTAACTTGAATTTCCTACAAGGTTAAGCGTAGTGTTCCTCTTTAGTACTGCTGCAGTGCTGTTAGTGTTATTGCATTAGTCAATAGGGAAATTATGAATGCCGTCATGGCACTTATTCTCTATGTAAAATGAACTCCTGTGAGACAGGTGAATAGATTTTTCACGGAAACGCGTGAAATAAAAAAATAAAAATTTACTTTATCATTGCAGATATAGAACACAAGAATATGATCATCAACGGCTTCGCTCTAACCTGTAAACTCTGCGTTGGTGCCGCGTGGACATCCTTAATCGTCTTCACAGCAGAGACATATCCCACTGTCGTTAGGTAAGTACACCCTCGTTACAGAGACATATCCACCCTCGTTACAGAAACATATCCCACTGTCGTTAGGTAAATACACCCTCGTTACAGAGACATATCCCACTGTCGTAAGGTAAATACACCCTCGTTACAGAGACATATCCCACTGTCGTAAGGTAAATACACCCTCGTTACAGAGACATATCCACCCTAGTTACAGAAACATATCCCACTGTCGTAAGGTAAATACACCCTCGTTACAGAGACATATCCCACTGTCGTTAGGTAAGTACACCCTCGTTACAGAGACATATCCCACTGTCGTTAGGTAAAGACACCCTCGTTACAGAGACATATCCCACTGTCGTTAGGTAAGTACACCCTCGTTACAGAGACATATCTCACTGTCGTTAGGTAAGTACAACCTCGTTACAGAGACATAGTTCACTGTCGTTAGGTAAGTACACCCTCGTTACAGAGACATATCTCACTGTCGTTAGGTAAGTACAACCTCGTTACAGAGACATATCCCACTGTCGTAAGGTAATTACACCCTCGTCACAGATACATTTCTTACTGTCGTTAGGTAAGTACACCCTCGATACAGAGACATATCCCACTGTCGTTAGGTAATTACACCCTAATAAAGGAGAAATATCTAACTGTCGTTAGGTAAGTACACCCTCGTTACAGAGACATATCTCACTGTCGTTAGGTAAGTACACCCTAATAAAGGAGAAATATCTCACTGACGTAAAGTAATTACACTCTAGTAAAGGAGACATATCTCACTGTCGTTAGGTAATTACACCCTCGTTACAGAGACATATATCACTGTCGTTAGGAAATTACACCCTACTAAAGGAGAAATATCTCACTGACGTTAGGTAATTACACCCTAATGAAGGAGAAATATCTCACTGACGTAAGGTAAGTACACCCTAGTAAAGGAGAAATATCTAAATGTCGTTAGGTAATACACCCTCGTTACAGAGACATATCTCAATGTCGTTAGGTAAGTACACCCTCGTTACAGAGACATATCTCAATGTAGTTAGGTAAGTACACCCTCGTTACAGAGACATATCCCAATGTAGTTAGATAAGTACACCCTCGTTACAGAGACATATCCCAATGTAATTAGATAAGTACCCCCTCGTTACAGAGACATATCTCAATGTCGTTAGGTAAGTACACCCTCGTTACAGAGACATATCCCAATGTAATTAGATAAGTACACCCTCGTTACAGAGACATATCTCAATGTCGTTAGGTAAGTACACCCTCGTTACAGAGACATATTTCAATGTCGTTAGGTAAGCACTCCCTCCTCACAGAGACATTTCCCACTGTCGTTAGGTAAGTACACCCTCGTTACAGAGACATATCCCACTGTCGTTAGGTAAGTACACCCTCGCTACAGAGACATATCCCACTGTCGTTAGGTACGTACACCCTCGTTACAGAGACATATCACAATGTCGTTAGGTAAGTACACCCTCGTTACAGAGACATATCCCACTGTCGTTAGGTAATTACATCCTCGTTACAGAGACATATCTCACTGTCGTTAGGTAAGTACACCCTAATAAAGGAGAAATATCTCACTGACGTAAAGTAATTACACTCTAGTAAAGGAGACATATCTCACTGTCGTTAGGTAATTACACCCTCGTTACAGAGACATATATCACTGTCGTTAGGAAATTACACCCTACTAAAGGAGAAATATCTCACTGACGTTAGGTAATTACACCCTAATGAAGGAGAAATATCTCACTGACGTAAGGTAAGTACACCCTAGTAAAGGAGAAATATCTAAATGTCGTTAGGTAATACACCCTCGTTACAGAGACATATCTCAATGTCGTTAGGTAAGTACACCCTAGTAAAGGAGACATATCTCACTGTCGTTAGGTAAGTACACCCTCGTTACAGAGACATATCTCACTGTCGTTAGGTAAGTACAACCTCGTTACAGAGACATATCTCACTGTCGTTAGGTAATTACACCCTAGGAAAGGAGACATATCTCACTGTCGTTCGGTAATTAGGCAAAACAAAAGGTATATGACAGTCCGCTGTGTTAAGGTAAATACAAAGCAAAGTGAAATAATTCACGGAATAGCAAAAGCTATTGCAGCTGCCCTTTGATATTAACAACCTCCCCTGTCCAATTGGCAAACAGCGTCTGCCGTCTCACGCGTGGCTTGATAAAAGCCAACAATCCTCCATGGATCACTAAACGAGACAACTTCTCTTAAATGCATTAAATATAAACTATACTTTTCAACACTTTCTGTGTCCTTGAACAAATAAAAACAATGTAAAAATCTAAAGGCTTCATTATTTTACTCTCTTAAGTAGGAAATGGTATAATAGTATTGAACATACAGTAATTTATTAGTGCTTGACATAAACTGCTCATTAAAGATAGTTGCTTTTCAATTACTTTTTACACTTAAAATTATGTTTTCCTTTTAAAGGCAAACTGTCTTTCTTCAATAAAGATAATAATTTAATGTAATTCGGAATGTATATTTCGTTTCGTAAAAGTATTGTTTTGAATGACCTTTTTCACATATATATCTATTTGTGTATACGATTACGTTAGTATTGTCTATTTAATGTTATATCGTATATGTTATTGTCGGCATTACCAATACCTTTCAGTGAATGCTTGTCCAAAATGTCTTATTTATGCTATAACACTTGTTTAAATAACACTATATCGTAATCATTTTCCAGAAATATAGGAAATGGTCTTCAAAATTCCCTGTCAAGACTTGGAGGAATGGTTTCGCCGTTAATTGTTTACGTGGTAACTATGACATCTGTGCTTTGTTTATGTAGTAACTTCAGCATGATTGCTATGCTTACATGATGCATGAAAGTGTGGTGATGTACTTTAATTTCGTTGTTACTATGGTATATCTACTTTGCTTACATGGTAACTATAGTATATATGCTTTGCTTACGTGGTAACTATGTTATGTGTGCCTTTGCACACATGGTAACTTTGATATATATGCTTTGCTTTCGTGGTAACTGTGATTTATGTGCTTTGCTTAACTCTTTCCGTACCGTTGTCGTGTACACACGACAAGAGACTTTGATGTAACCTGCCTGATGTTTAGTTGGTTATCGCACGAGACTGTCGCGAAAAAACCTTTAATTGTCGCTAAAATCAGAACCCATCAGTTTGGAAGAAATAATTTTAGTTGTGCAGAGTACACTTTTTTATTATGTGACTTAATGTTTTCGCATTTGCCGCAAGATGTTTGCGTTTGGTGCCTCAAATGTAAACAAGATGGCGGCAACTTAATTCGATACGAACACTCGTAAATTCATCATCAGATATTTGTTGAGACTTATGGAAGTAAATTTGAATATTCTAATATAAGTCTTGACGAAATCGACTTGTATTTAGAAAAATATCAACGACTCCACATTCGTAACCATAATCAAACCCCATTGGAAACCTGCACTACAGCGCTGTGTTAAATAAAAGGAATCGTATCGTTTATTGAAAGACAAATGTCGATTTATCCGTCATTATCAGCTGCCAGTTAGTCAGTATGCTGCGAAAATTAAGAAGTGTTTGTCTATGAACCAGAACATGAAACAATAATAATATTTGTTCACAGTTACCTGTTTAATTCTTGCGGCAGTTACACCTAGTCTAAAAAGGACATTAAAAATCCGCCATTTTGCTATATGCGCGGGGGCGAGTCTAATAAGTACATCCGGTACGAAATCCGGACAGGAGTTGCGGTACGGAAAGAGTTAAGTGGTAACTATGGTATGTGTGCCTTTGCACACATGGTAACTTTGATATACATGCTTTGCTTTCGTGGTAACTGTGGTGTATGTGCTTTGCTTAAGTTGTAACTATAGTATGTGTGCTTTGCTTATGAGGTTTCAATGGTGTATGCGCTTTGCTTTCGTGGTAACTGTGGTGTATATGCTTTGCTTTCGTGGTAACTGTAGTTTATATGCTTTGCTTTAGTGGTAACTATGGTATATGTGTTTTGCTTACGAGGTAGCTGTGTCATATTTGTTTTACCTAAGTGGTAACTATGGTATGTGTGGTTTGCTTACGAGGTAACCATGTCATATTTGTTTTACCTAGATGGTAACTATGGTATGTGTGCTTTGTTCAGGTCTGGTTGTTAACGTGTTTAGTTTGCCCTAGTTTTCATTCTCGGGGATAAAACATGATGAAATCCAGCTAAGGCATCAATATAAATTAAAATCAGATTTTTACAATCGTACTTAATTATACAGTGTTGATCCTTCACAGCACATTGTATACCAGAAAGGCGGGGAAAACACAAATATGTCTAAATACGAAAAACTTCCAATCTTCCATCTTCCAGTCTTTCTAAATCATATCAATGCAGAAGTTTTCTGGAACAATCGATCTCGTTACTATATGAATGTTACTGTGACCCCGAAGTCAGGTTACAAATGTACAGAACATGGTCTATTAACAGATGTGAATGCAAAATAGAACAGTTAAAGAGAAGCGAAACATTTTAAAACAATTATAATAATGGTCGCAGGATGAGTTACATGAAGTTGTATCGCTTGTCAAGAGAATGAGCCTCATTAAAACCGCAAATTTGAAACTATTTATTATTCTTTAGCTATTGATCAAAAGAAAACGACCGGAAATTGATAGCAATCAGGTATATTTGATTCTGATTTTTACACACATGTAGCTCACAAACTTTGGTTTTATTTTTCACTCGTTGTTTGAAAGACTACACGAATAAATGTTCATTTTAAGAATGTTAAAAAAACGCTGTTTTTTATAAAAAACACCATAATTATTATTATTTCCTCCCCGAGTTCTGTTAATTTGATATATATATGTTCAGTTGCAAATTATAAAAAATGAACAATGAACAAAACATCCTTCAAAAAAGAATGTTATTCCAATAAATACAAAATTAAAGCTTTATTATTTTATTTTGATCTTCATATAACAGTATTGTGGGGAAACGGAGGATATGGTTTCCTCTGTAGAACATACGGATAATTTTCCCTCCCATAGTGTGATAAGTTGATCCCTTCATCCCTAAGTGTGATATGCTTTTCAATAAAACAGAGATATCCACACTTCCGTGAAAGACGTCTTATCATCCCACCCTTTACAGGTGTGTCTCCCGTTTCGGCCGGAAAAGATCAGCTTGTCATCCCCTAGAGGAGATAGCCTCGTGCCGATTATCACGTGTCCAATTGTGACGTCATTTAAATGTATCACCGGTAATTGTGACGTCATCGAAAGTGACTGACGATATTCATACCCCACATGTGTTTTTGTTTACAAACAGATTACTGTTGGTGGAGTTGTGACTGAAATAATAGGATGGGAGAAAAATAATCATCCCCTACCTTGAGGGTGTAACAGAGAAATACCCAACCCTCGAAGTGATGTGTTCGGTTGTCTATCCCTCTGCAGAGCCTCTGGTTAGACAACCAAAAAGCATCACCCTTCGGATTAGATATTTCTTTGTCACACCCTCAAGGTAGGGGAAGATTCTGTTAGTCTTACCCAGGGTAAAGAGGGGGGGGGGGGGGGTGTTCCCCTGTCATAGCAATTGCATGACGTCACGTCAACAGTGCCATGGCGTCACGTCAACAAAAGCAGATCACGGATGATAATTCCGATCTGCTGGTAATATAATAAACGTTTGCATTTCATTAAATTACCACTAGTATTTGTTATTAGGGAAAATAAGTCTTTCCCCGCTTAAGGAGTAAGAGAGAAAAATCTCAACCTTCGGAATACGATTAAGAATGATTTTGGGTTGAGATTGTACTGTCTTTCCCCGACAGCTGGGAAAAATTTATTTAATCCGTCCATGCCAAAAGTGTGATTAGTTTATTCTTCCATCCCTAAGTGTAATTAACATATCCTTCCAAAATTAAAAAATGTTATTAGCTGATCCACCTCCCCATAACACAATTAGCACATCCTTTTATTCATACGTGTTATTAGCTTATTTTCTTGTCCCGAATTGTAGCTAATTGATCATTCCATTTAGTAATGTAATTAAGCTGACCATAATACCCATGGTGAAAAGATATCCCATCCAATAGAGTAATGATTAGATCGTCCTTCCATCCAATAGTGGAATAAGTTTATTCGTCTTCTTATAGTAGAATTAGATTATCATTTGATCCCATAATGATTATCCTTCCGTCCCATGATGTAATTAGATTATCCTTCAATTCCATAGTGTAATTAGATTATCCTTCAATCCCATAGTGTAATTAGAATATCGGCCATCCTATAGTGTAATTAGAATATCGGCCATCCCATAGTGTAATTAGAATATCGGCCATCCCATAGTGTAATTAGATTATCGGCCATCCCATAGTGTAATTAGAATATCGGTAACCCATAGTGTAATTAGAATATCGGTATCCCATAGTGTAATTAGATTATCGGCCATCCCATAGTGTAATTAGAATATCGGTAACCCATAGTGTAATTAGAATATCGGTAACCCATAGTGTAATTAGATTATCGGCCATCCCATAGTGTAATTAGAATATCGGTAACCCATAGTGTAATTAGAATATCGGTAACCCATAGTGTAATTAGATTATCGGCCATCCCATAGTGTAATTAGAATATCGGTAACCCATAGTGTAATTAGAATATCGGTAACCCATAGTGTAATTAGATTATCGGCCATCCCATAGTGTAATTAGAATATCGGTAACCCATAGTGTAATTAGAATATCGGTAACCCATAGTGTAATTAGATTATCGGCCATCCCATAGTGTAATTAGAATATCGGTAACCCATAGTGTAATTAGAATATCGGTAACCCATAGTGTAATTAGATTATCGGCCATCCCATAGTGTAATTAGAATATCGGTAACCCATAGTGTAATTAGAATATCGGTAACCCACAGTATAATTAGATTATCGGCCATCCCATAGTGTAATTAGAATATCGGTAACCCATAGTGTAATTAGATTATGGCCATCCCATAATGTAATTAGAGTATCCTTCCATTCCGTAGTATAATTAGGTGATCGCTGCAATCCCATAGAGTAATTAGATTATAGGCAGTCACATAGTGTAATTAGAATATCGGCCATCCCATAGTGTAATTAGAATATCGGCCATCCCATAGTGTAATTAGATTATCGGCCATCCCATAGTGTAATTAGAATATCGGTAACCCATAGTGTAATTAGAATATCGGTAACCCATAGTGTAATTAGAATATCGGTAACCCATAGTGTAATAAGAATATCGGTAACCCATAGTGTAATAAGAATATCGGTAACCCATAGTGTAATAAGAATATCGGTAACCCATAGTGTAATAAGAATATCGGTAACCCATAGTGTAATAAGAATATCGGTAACCCATAGTGTAATAAGAATATCGGTAACCCATAGTGTAATAAGAATATCGGTAACCCATAGTGTAATAAGAATATCGGTAACCCATAGTGTAATAAGAATATCGGTAACCCATAGTGTAATAAGAATATCGGTAACCCATAGTGTAATTAGAGTATCCTTCCATTCCATAGTATAATTAGGTTATCGCTGCAAGCCCATAGAGTAATTAGATTATAGGCAGTCACATAGATAATTAGATTATCTGTCATCCTATAGTGTAATTAAATTATCGGTCGTCCTATAATGTAATTACATTATCGGTCCATTACATATTGCAATTAAAGTATCGATCCATCCTAAAGTATAAATAGATAGGCATCTATCCGATAGCGTACTAAGCAGGTATCCCTTCCCAAAGTGCTAGCTGATCTTTCCGTCCGAAATGGTAAGTAGCTGAAAGGAGAAACGTTACCATAATTAAGTTAATGTTATAAAAAATAAAAACAATATGTAGCTTACAGTTTCAGTTCTCTAGTATTGAGCTTATTAAACATCGTTCTAACGTTATCAACAGAGATTATCATAATGAGTAAATTGCTGTTAAAATTAATATATACATAAAGATGGACCGCTGGTAAATGAACAAACTCTTTTGGATAATTTTCTATCGAATACTGGCGTTACTTGTTTAGACCACTTAAGAGCATGCTTCAGTGTTGTGATACATTTAAGCAATCAATGTTTAGGCAAATGTTATTAGTGATGACAAACTTAATAAAGCCCGGTAGGCTTTATGTAAGTTTGTCAGCAATATAAATGTGTGTTATAGGACCATAACAATATTTGTTTAAATGTTCATTTTTTATATTTACATTTTGATATAAGAGTAGTTATGCTTTATTCAGTTATTTCGGACAGTTTTTGAATAGCAATTCAAGTGTTGACAACAATTAAATTGATGACGTCACAATAGACATTGATGACGTTACAATAGAAAATGTTGTAACAGCTCATAGCAACATTTGCCTTCGCAATACATTACAATGGAAGGATGCAGAGCAAATGTAAATATTTTTGCTTAAAATCTTTGGAGCAAATCCAAACTGTTCCAGCAAAACATATTTGCCAGTTTTGTAATTCCTGGCGTCAAAAACACTGTTAAAACCTTATTATCACTACAATCCATCCATGTATTTATCATAAAACTTTCCAAATGCACAAAACAGGTGGAGGTAAGGGCACGTGTATTAAGTGAAATGGGGTTTGTATCCTTAGGCCAATCCTCGATTGATTAGGGACTAACCTCAGACGTATATGATGAGTTTGTACTATTTGACTAGTAAATACACCAATACAGTCATAGTTAAGATATATTTTTGCGTATTACTAGAACTATTATATATACGTAAAAACTATGAAAAGGGCCGAAACACTGTTTAAAGAACTATGACTTAATAGAAGTCCAGAGCTCTATCGTATACTCGGGGATTGGATAATATGAAGGTGATGCTAGGTCAATTAGGACTTATCTAAAAGGCAACGTCATCTCTGTGTTGACATACAATAATTTACTAATGCTACGTATGAGTTCATTTTTTATTTTTTTATTTTTTTTTATATTTAAAATCTAGACTTTTTAATAGTTATGCATAATAAACTAGACATATTTAAGTCGAACATTTGTGGAAAGGGACAATCATTTCCCATAAATGTTTCGCGAGCTATAATGTTGATGACTTAAAGACCAAAGATCCCTAAGAAAAAAAAACAATAGACTTAAGCTTAAATGTTTCTTACAGGGCGCAAATTTAGCAACCGAAAAAATACTGATTCGGAAAATCTCATACCCGATACATTTAATATTATTTTTTATGTTACTGGCAAATACAAAAGAAAATAGAATTAAATCGAATTAACAAAAAAGGCGAAAAGGACAGTTTATATCTGTAAGAATATTTATTTTTGCAAGATACATCGAGTCACTATCATGTGAAAAAAGATGTTCTTACCCAGACAGTTTCAAGAATATTATTCATAAGATATCAGCACGATTTATTAGGTGACAAATGTCAAAAATTACAAACCTGCTATATCCTTGTATATCCTTCATGCTGGTTCACTTCATGTGGAAGCGTCTCAGTATATCGGCTATCGACCTCTGTTCCTTGTATATGGGGATGGTATTGTCCTCTCTAACTACCACGTCGGTGGCTCCAGGGGGAGCCCAGCCTCCAAATTTCGGAATTCCAACTTCTTCCCTTTCATTAAAAGGGTTGCCTAGGGTGGGTACGCCGGTCTGAAGGCCACCCTGCTTTTGCTCGTATGCTTGTGGTACCGAGTCGAACCCAGCATTTGAGGTCACAGGCAAATTAAAGCCGGCGTTCTGGAATCCTAAATCATTTTGGATGTTGCCGGTTTGTACGCGACCTAAGGTTGGTTGAGCACCAACCGGAACCACTCCGCCAATAGGACTGTTTTGAATGAATGAATTTCCATTCGCGAGTCCAGCGGGGAATCCTGGTGTTCCAGCGTTGAGAAATCCGTTTGTAGCTTGTATGGTTGTAGTCTGTGATCCTATAGGAAAGCTTGCAGGAGGCGACACTGGAATTCCACCTGGACCTTGAAATGAACCAATCTGGGTTCCAATGGGAATGCTACCAGAAGATTGAATCGGGACGCCCTGAGCTCCGGACGAAATAAATGTCATTCCCGGAGACGCGACGGTATTTGTGACACCCACGATACGGTGTGTAGGTTGTTGGAAGACTGACCCTTGCGTTCTTATCACATTAGGAACGCCGCCTATTACAAAAGGTGCATCTAGTCGATTGGTAACCACACCACTACTCTGAAATGGGGTCGTGCTCGTTGATATCACGGGGTTTTGGCGGGAGATAAATCCGGTTCCGAACTGACTCTGGATTGGACTTCGGAAGTGCATTTGTCCACCAAACTGATACTGCTGGTGTGTTGGGAGTGTTCTAATGACTTTATGTCCATAGATGTTGCTTTGGCCATAGTGTTTTTGGCGATATCCACCGTGTCCATACCCCTTCGCTGTCACGGCAGAGATAAACAACAGCAAAATCAAAGACACGCACAGTTCCTGCATGGCTACACGTTCAAACTATCTCCGTTCGTTATGCTACCCGGTTTGAAAAACAGCTGTATTAATTTACAGGGAACCTTTTGGAATCTACTAAAACTGTGTCACTATCCTAAATGAGCAGGTCGCTGTAGTGTCAGGTCAGTGTACCTCGTGAATAAAATTGTGTTGACCTGATCTGTTGTTATATATCAGCAGTGATCCCGTTTGGGCTGTGTTGCACCGTGTACTGAATATGTAATACACTTCCCTGAAAAGTGACATCAAAGTCGTACTCGTCTACCCCTTCACGTGAAGATTTTTATAAACCAATCAGAAAACGCCTTATACATCATAGTTGGTGAGATAGACAGGGCGATGTAGTGCTATACTTCCTGTTGGCACACGAAAACTCCGACTATCCTTGCTAAGTCCGGGGAATACAGCTATGTCCCCCGGGCCTTATGGTGACGTCACCTGACGTAGGCGTGATTGATTATGAATATTTAATGTAGATAAACTTCTCAAAATCGTTGAATTCGATGATAGTTTTGTCTGTCAACTAGTATATAGTTCACGCGCCCGATAGTTACGTGGGCTATACGTTCAAAATACCAGTCCTACAGAAATATGCATATTTTCGAAAATCTAATATTTATCGGTTAAATATTGTATAAATGATAGCACATTGTTTTGATTGGTGAGCACGTATGTATCAATCAACACTTTCTTGAGGTTTGATTAACTCATTTTTAATAATTTAAAGAACATATGGTTTATATACATGAATTGTATTCGGCAGTGTATTCTCAGTTAGCGGTCGGGTGATATATTAAAAACGTAAAAAGTAAAACAAAGAAAGAGAACAAAAAAATAACACGATTAAAAAAAAAGTAAAAATATATGAATAAATAAAGACTTAAACATAAAAAAATGTGTTAAGACTTAAACAGATATACGGTTTTTATTCAAACCGTAAATACTGAAAATAGCATTTCTGAATAGACGCATGGGGTGTGTGTTTGACTTTATAGGGATGGATATATTTAAACAACCACAGTCACGAACTCGTGTCATTTTTATATATATATAAAGGTGATACAAGGAACACATTGAGTCATAATCCTATAGAAAGGAAGGTGCCAGATAAAGTTGCATATACACCCACACTGTTATACAGCCTTTGGTGAACTGAGGATAGGTTCATGTTCTCTATTTTATAAACTAACGTTGATTGTAAGCAATTCGACCAACCATAGACAGAAATAAAACATTTTTATATTTTTTTATCATTTTTTAAGTAATTATTTATTATCATATATATTTGTGTGTGGTTCTTTTCATTATGCGCTATTTATCTTTATTTCAGTATGCTAATTTAATGTTGTCCGTTCTGATGGTGCAAATTGTGTACCAATGAGAGCCCTCTTTGTATACTAAATGATTCTAAATATTGTATACATTACAAACATCTTTCATTATAAAGAAAAACTTGCATATATGAAACAGCTATATCCGCACCATTCATTTAAGTGCACGTGCAAAATGCGCTTGAATGTAATATAACTCTTCTTCGTACCGTATAATAGATATACCTCATTGAACTCAATAACGAAACAAAAACAGTCGAAAACGGTCGATAAACCAGTGTCAGCATAGGTGTTTTGATGATCACGGGGACATAACATCGATTACAGGATGTTCTTGTTTACCTATCCTGGGTATTATAGACGTTTAAGGGATTCGCATGTCCCTGTGTATATGGAAATTATATTTAATTGTTTTTTAAGCAATATCTTTTTTTTCTTTTCATTTCAGAACAATCGTGTACCAGGAATAATGTATTTTCTATGTGGAGGCCTCATGCTTTTATCTGCCTTCTGTACGATGTTTGTACCAGAAACCAAAGGTGTACCCCTTTCCGATACAATCGACCAACAAAGCGAAACGGAATCGGAAAAGGAGAGACTATTACAATCTAATACCGGAAATGGATACCGGACTACAGTTCCGCAAGAGAGATCTCCGTCGGTCACCAATTAACACTGATCAACTTAATTAACTGTTGTTTTGACACAAAGTTGTATGAATCCATTGTACAGACATATAGCAAGTTATTTTGGCGCAGCATATATAATGTAAAATTGTTGGTACAGATGAAGCATGGCAAATTGGCGAAAAGAATGACGTCAAAATAAGTATAGCATTGATGACATTCAGATTTCAATAAGAAAAAGACATTTATTAATATTGTATTTGTGTTTTATGAGTTTGTACTAAATAGAGGTAAATGCGTTGTTATTTGTATTACATATAATACGATATTTATAACAGTGTTTATTTGAAAGGTTTCCCTAAGTGCACATGTTGGAAGTTAAATATAGCATATACATTTACGTTTACCTAAAAACCGAGATTTTATTTTTCATCAAATATACAAAATACAGAGTGAATTGTTAATATTATGTATTTACAGTTAATACATGTAGTTAGAGATAAGTCACTTGCGGAGATTAGTTCTTAGATATACTGTTAGACGAGGTACGAGGTACCACCTGTGTCGAAATGCGATACATATCGTGATACTTTTAAGAACCAGACATGTTTACATTAGGTTTACTTACTTTAAGTTATTTTATTATTTTCTGATGAACAAAGATCATTTCATACTATTTCTCGGACGTTTTATCCATTATAATTAAGCATTTCATCTTGTTCTTAAATTGAAATTGGGAAGATGACAGTGATGTGATGACGATGATGTAAGAGTAGGGTGTATGATGATATTCATATATTATGGATGATGATGATGATGATGATGATGATGATGATGATGATGATGATGATGAAATCAGGTGAAGGATGATGACAGTGTTATTTTAAAACGGGTAGATGTGAGTGTGAGAGAACGTGCTATTTTTTTGTATATGTAAAAACACTTATGAAACAAAATACCCAAAAACCGAGATAATCTTCAAACTGAACGATATAAAAGGACCTTCATTGCAGAATGATTCACGTCATTTTGGTGCAAATAGGGTGCACATTTTCTTTGTGCACATACAGAACGGACTACTTTCAAATAAAGAAGTATCAGGGTTTACCTGTCTCTTGATGAACCCATATACACAAACACAACCTTGAGTCACTCTTTAATTGATCGAGTGAGTCGTCAAATAGCCATACTGATAGAAGTTGTTCCATAATGTACATTTTTAGTAGCTAATTATTAAAGACAGATGATTTTACAGTGGTATTTTCTCCCCTGAATTTGATTCTGGTGGTGATATATTAAAGTATAAAATCGTTTTGGAAACCAGAAAAAGAACCACGACACTTTAAATAGATTAATCATAATTTATTGTCGAAAACCAATGGCAATAGGCAGATGTTAAACTTATTTTGTTCTTGTACCCTTTATATGTAATATATATAATAAAGTGGCATAACATATACATACATTTATGTACATTCCACTTACAGGTAGAAGGATTGAACATGGATGAGCGGAGTTACATAGTTTTGAAACGTACGTGTATGCATACTCGACAAATATATGTAAACATGTGAAAAATAATTTGATGTTCCTGCCAGGGATAGGTTCGTTTCTGATAAAATGTGTCTCTAAAACTTCAATGGTTGATAGTCAGAAGGCTACCCAAACATGCGTTATGGCGGTTCTTGCAAGCAATGCACTGCTGATAGTGTTCCTTTATAGGCATTCACAGTGCTTATGAATGCCAACTGAAAGTAGTTCAATACTCATATTTTTGCCATTTTTGGAATTGGTTCATCACAAACAGAACTCAGTTGACTAATTATGGCTCAAATGTTTGTTCACTCTAACAGCAACTTGTACACTTCAAAAGGACATCAATATCGTTTAACACGTCATCAGTGGAGCGTAAACTGTTTTAAGATTTTTTGCAACTGTTATCAATCATTTGTTTATTGATTTAATTGCAATGAGATAAGGTACATACCTCAACCATCTCCAATGTCAATTTCCAGTAAAACAAACCCAAAATACGTCACTGTAAGTATCCATGAATTGACCATTGCGATATAACCGTTGTAGTTTACAGTGTCACCATTAAAAGGCGAGGAAACATATCGAACCAGACTTAAACAAAGGAAAGCTGAGATGAAGGTCTATGGGTATTTTGAAGCCATCACCTAATTCAAATAAAATGGCCAATCAAGTTAAATGTAGTACCCTCAAAGCACTGTCGCATAACTTTGTCGAGCAAATACCCCTTTCAGGGATTTTTATTATATGACGTGGTGTTTTTTTTAATTCCCATATACTTTTGTCCGATATTTTTTGCCGTCCGCAAATAGTTTAAATAGAAGATAAGCATTGAATCATAGTATGCGGCTGTTACAATTCTTTAAAATGGTTTGTTACAAAATCATCATTAATATAGATACAATGTACCTTCATCCTACGCCTATTGTTTATCGAATATTAATGAGAGGGAGGTGCCTGATCTATCCCAAGAACGCAACTATTAACCAAGAACTTTATCTCAGTTAAAGCTACTCTAAAGTGCTCAAATATACAATCAATACAATTAGCATATACATTAATTGATAAAATTTTGAGGAATTCGCAGGAGCTTATCAGGCGCTTACTACTACCTCTATGCCCCCTAGCTAATATCTCCATATGTGTGTATGCCTGCATGTGTGCTGGAGATGTATTGTATTCTGTTTGTAGTGGGACCGTGCTTCCAACGGTAGCAGTTATAGTGTCACCTCACTTGAATGCTACAGCAAAGATACCGCAACATCCACCTAAGACCATTTTATACTCCACCTGGGTTGTTGGAGTAGTGTGGGATGGAGAAAAACACTTCCTTTGAATATTCCATGCGTACGACGACTTCGGAGATAGAATCACGGCCGTCTGCATGGAAGGCCGGAGCGTTAACCACTCAACCAATCCGCCCATAACCTACAGATAAACTCCAATAAATATCCCGTATATTAAATATAAGTTTATGCATCCTAATACCAAGTTGTTTTAATTGTTAAAGAGACGTTCATCATGCTGCAGTTTCTTCCAGTCTAAACGGTTTATCTTGTCGGTCCAATGCGTTCGCTTCCAAATCCTGAAACAGCAAAATAATAGATATTCATATAAAAGCTGAACTGAACAAGAGAAAACAAAAAGTTGATATCTATGTTACATTGTCATTTTTGCATGAATCACAAATTGGTGTTTGAATAAAACCCAATGTCACACACACACACGCAGGTGATTGCACCAGCCTTTAGGTTGAAAAAAGTTGGGACTGTTTAAAAGATGGCGCCTGCCTAAACAAGTAGAGTGTTATAAAATGCTAAAATTCCACTCCAGAAAAGCATCTATATTAAAGTACAGTGCTTGCAAGGTGACGGGAGCCGGCAATCGGGACGTTCAGTCAAAATCAAAAAATAAATCCGAGTATATTTATGGACCCATGATACAGGTAAAGAGGCCTTTGAAGATTAAAAGTAATCTTAACTGGTTGCAAGATGTCCTATAAACAGGTAGAAATACACATTTTAAAGAGATGACCTAGATTTATATTTGTGCGGTTTGGATACTCCTTTCCTTACGACTTTGTTCGGTTGTGACATTGGATGCAATGTCGTAAAATTGTACGGTGGGGACTGTATATTCGCACATAGCGATTGAGAGGTTGGGACTTCCAATGGAGCGGCACTACTGTTACGGATGTAGCATTTGGAATGAACATGTTCAATCATGGGAAAACATATTGAAAATTGATGCGTTCTTACTGTGCAGTGTTTTCAAATAGGTCTGTCGTTTCTTTGTATTTCTAATGATTAAGTAAAGCTCAAGAACAGAGAACAACACATAGATGTTAATATATGATAATATACAACATTTGATATAGCGCCCAATCTAGCTAGCATAAGCCACGCTAAAGCGCTTAACAGTACATAGCTATACGATTGATACAATTAACATATACGGTAATCAATACAATTTTGAGGAAATCGCAGGAGCGGCTAACTTCTAATCCTATGCCACCTGGCTAACATCTACCTAGGTGTGTTTACCTGCGTGTGTGCTGGAGATGTTTTGTGTTCTGTTTGTAGTGTATAGTGCCACCTCACTTGAATGCTACATCACAGATACCGCAACTTCCTCCCCGGACCAATTTATACTCCACCTGGGTTGTTGGAGTTGTGTGGGCAGGAGAAAAACACTTTCTCTGAATATCCATGCGTACGACGACTACGGGGATCGAACCCTGGCCGCCTGCGTGGAAGGCCGGAGCGTTAACCCCTCGACCAATAGTCGCATATGGCCACATAAACACATAAACAAATTTATGTTTTGTTTGTTGTTAGTATTTATATTGATACTCCTATTACCAAAGCCTTTTGAACAGCAACTCCATGTGTTGAGTGTTCGATTTTTTTTTTTAAATATGAAAGTATGTAACATGTATGAAAATTACTAGAAATAAACAGTGTTTAAACTAAATGAAAATATAACATACCGAAAAAAAATTGCTGAAATTTATTTTTCGCCTTTTTCGGCATCCGTTATGAGAGCGAGTTTACAATAATAGCATTTGTCAAAAACATAATATACATTTTAACAAAATGTGAAGAGCGAATTTAATATTAGGGACAACATGGATTTTAACGTCGAAGGACGAAAAATTACTTGAGGAAAATTAACCGGCATACAGTGAATGACCAGATTTTTCGCATTTGAAGGATATTTGAAGGAAACTGTACTCAATAACAACCGCGCTAAGAAGAAAAATAAAGGTAAATAACGTATGTAAATGGGATGTACGCCATAGAAACCACTGACAGCACATGAAGAGGTGTGTTGCGTGTGATAAATAATGCTTTCGTTACCACAGTTGCCGCTAACAATCCGCTCCAATCAACGAACTGATTAACACATTCTGTTAAATAGTTGATAGCAATTCTGTAACAAAGGTGTAATTGGAGATTTGAATATTGGTGCCCTCCACCTTCACACGGTTCCATTACACATATTCTGCATTTGTTTAGTAACATGCTGGATAACTTTTCACAAGCGGATACCTTTACGAACACCCAGTATTTATATAAATTAAACGATACCAAAGTATTTGAAGTTAATAAACCGATGTCAGCACTCGACAAAATATGTTTGTGTTACTGTAATTCAAAGTACGCACAATTTTACATTATTGAACATTCCACACCATCTCACTTAATTAAACTTTTAAACATTACACATAAACTTCAAAATTTCCACACATTCTTACATAATGCAACATTAAACAAATTGTAAAATTTTACACAATCTTACATAATAATACAAAATACAGAAATTAACATTCGTGATGACTTACCTTGACATATATTTGCTTATTTTAAAATTTTAAAATTCCAATTCAATTCAAACTGAAATTAAAAAAACAGTTTATTGAATTGTTATACTTATGAATATATCAAAGTCTATAGGTTTAAACTAAGGGAAAATTTTAAATATAAACACAGAAAGTGTTATAAACGAATATAACAAACAACAATAAAGATAAGACATCACGAATGTGTTTTTTTTACAATTAAGATATTTAGAAAATGATTCTCAGATAAATGCCAGAATCCGAAGCAGGTATATTTAATGCACTTCATGTGAAGCATCTATATATAATCAAAGTGGAGTTGTTGTAGCACACACAGATTTTTAAAAGCAAGATAAACCTTTAAAAATAACAGATGAAGACGCTGAAAAAGAAACTGAAGAAATCGAGGTAATGTGTCCAAAGCAAAAAATCAAATCCGCAAAACACAAAACGTCGAATTATAAACAATCAAAGTTCAGTTGTTCCTGCTCTAATGTACTATGTAGGCCACTAGACCTGAAATATATGCCAAATTCAGTATCTCATACATGGATGGCAATAAAGAAGGTTAGAATAAAACATTGTTTGATTGGTGTAGCACTTAGACTTCAGTAGAAATAGAGCTAAACCCCAAACATTAACGCTGACGTCGACGTCACTTCGGCATCAACAGGTAATTTATTCGTAAACAAGTATATCGTGTAAATTGTTTCATGGCTAAACAAAACATTCGTGGATTCCTATTCTACCAGTAGTATGTTACGGAAAAAATATTACTAGAAATAAAAAGAATCAGTGATGGTTTCTACTCAACTATAAATACTGTTAACCAGGTATTTTTCAGACAAATTTTCGCCCTTCACTGGGGATTACATATTCGTGGGGATGAGAAAATGGCGGTCTCTTTAAGAAAGGTTTAATTAAAAGGGTTGTTTACTAAATAAATTCAATTTATACCTTTGGAAACAAATCGCAAAACTAAAATATATACAAGAAAATACTGCGAAACGTCTTTACCTTTCTGACGCATCCAGGACTTTGGTAGCAGGAATCCAAGACCAGAGGTTCGACCACGGTGTTGCTGTTAGTCGCGGTGTAGGAATCCCGGTCCGTCATCCTTGTACGATTGCTCTTGCGGCAGATTGCGCTCGCGCATATTCCTATCAGCCCCGACATGCACAGACAGACAATTAGTACCAAAACTATAATCATGGGATCAGTCTCCATGTTTAGGGATAAATAATAAATCCCGTTGATATAGCCTTATTACAGTTGCTTACATTAAAATGAGTTTGTGTATTTGTTCACATTAACACGATAGCCGTCTTGAAATAATTTCAATTCAGACTTATACTGGCCTCATGTTAGTCCATGTAAAACTCATGTAATCTTCTGTTGTCGTTCACACATACACGACACTGTTATATAATCATTCACATTGAAATGGTAGTTTTATCTGGAATCATCGTATCAAAGTTACATTGTCTTTGTGTGATTGTCCGCATCACAATACTACAGCCTTTTAGAATCCTTCACAACAAAATTGCATATTCTACTTTCAATCCTCCACATCCAAATGATATTTGTCATGCAGTCGTTCATATAAAAATGGAATTCCGAAAAATCCATGAAATATCCTTTGTCAAACATAATGGTCACGATGTCATTAAACTGGGTGTCAACACCTACAGCAGCTGAAATGAATGGCGATAACCAAATCGTTTATAACACTTTCTGTGTTTTCTTTCGCTTTCTAAGTTTGCCTGTTAAATCTTCGTCAGACCCACCTGGTGTAGATGTTTCAATATATAGTCATAATATAACAAAACAACACATTGGGCTGCGCAGACTTTGCTGGATCTAGCGAAAATGTCTGATTTTGCATTGCCGATTGTTACAATATTAATTTGTGTTGGACTCGGCGTGTCGTTTGCAACATGCATGTGCACGCTTTTCTACTGCTTGTTTAAGACGGGAAGAGAACAAAATGGAGGACTCAGTATTGCACACAATAACACCGTTACGGAAACGTTGCCATTGGGAACGCTAAAACGACCGCACGACATTAGAGAGGATTGGTGAGATTATCGGTATGCACCATAACTTTCTGGGTTTTAAGAGATTGTCAGATTATAAAATGAGTTAAAGAGATTTTGTTTCCTAAATTGTATACAGCGTTGAAGACATCGATGCTATTATTTTATATACAGAGTAAGGTGATCTACGGTCGGTAACGCCAGTC